GAATCCATCGAGACTTCCAACCTATACATTTAAGCTCAATGATATATCTTACACTAATTTATCTCGTTTTTTGGTGTAGGTTGTGTCATCGCCTCCACCCGATCTTCTTGGTAGCCTCTTGGATAAAATTCTTTCGAATAAAATCTAGAAAATTATCCCAACTTATTTTTTCACCCTCATGGGTTTGTATATATGAATTCCACCATGTTAAGACATGACTTGTCATTTTTAGTCTTGCTAATGAGGTTTTGTCTTCATTATTATACCTATATAAGGTAAAGTAAATCTCCAACTGATTGATTTAAGAATCTAACTTTTTAGCATCAACTGAACCGTCATGTGATGGAATGTCGATTTTTGCTTCCACCTTAAAAAGTCTTGGCAGCCTCTCTTCTTCCTCTTCTTGAGGAGACTTTTTTTTTTCTTTTTTCTTAAACTCAGACCAAGACTTTTAATGTCTCTATGTGTTTCTATCAGAATCATCATGAGATTGATCCTCCATCCAAGACAACTTTTGCCATCTATTCAGACAGACTAGTAATTTGCTTGGCCAAGTCGACTACAATAGAGTTTTGTGTCATTATAACAGACTCCAAACTTGTGGTTCTTCTTGAGGATTCTCGATGAACGTTGAGAATAGAAAATGGTTCTCCTGTCTCCTTGTAACCACTTCTAGTCTTAACCATATACAGGTAAGATCAAAATGCTCTGATACCAATTTGATCCGTATAGGAGTGATAGAACTTGATAACTCTCTGATTGAAAATAAAGAGAAGGTTTATCTTTGAAAAAGATAAGATAACTTTCATTCTTCTCTGCTTTAATTCTTACAATGAAATCCTCTTATATGACTTTGAGAAGCTTACAAAAATAATACATATATTAAAATAAGTAAATTCTAAAAATAACATACAGATTCATATTCTCTCTTTTTTTAGTAAATTAATTAAAATCATTAATCTATTTTTAATCTTAAATAAAACTAGAAAATAATACAAATAAAAATTATAAAAACTGTAAATTAAAGATCACCCTTGATCAAAATATCACTTATGCAATAAGTGTTATAAGTTAATTCGTGCACAGTTATAACGAATTGTACTTACAAACAGGTTTTAGAGTGCTACATTACTTGAAAGGGTCGCTTGGAAAAGGGATCTTATTTAGAAATATTGATAAGTTGAAGTCTATATGGATGTAGATTATGCAAGGTTTGTGGTGGACAGAAGATTTATTACAGACTATTGTACCTCTCTTAAGGATAACTTGATTATCTAGAGAAATAAAAAGCAAAATGTAGTTACAATATCAAATATAAAATCAGAGTTTTGAATAATAGCTTAATGGATATGTAAATTATTATGACTTTAAAGAATTTTAGAAGATCTGAGAATCAATTGGGAGAACCCTATGCACTTATATTGTAATGACAAATCGATCATAAGCATTACGCACAATCCGCTATTAAAAAGAAGCTCGATAACAACCTAATATATACTTCATATATGCTTAATAATTCACAGTTAACAACCAAAAGATTGAGCACTCTAGCATTACAGATTATCATTGGCAAGTTGGGAATTGACAATATTTATTTTCTAGTTTAAGAGAGTGTTAAAAGAGAGTATATTATATATAAATTAGGTTAAAAGACATTATGGTAAAATACATCCTATGTGATTAATTTTTTATTTTCTTTCTTTATTTTAGAAAATCTGTATATATTTGGCTGTGATATTTAATAAAATACATGTTCAACCATTCTTAATAGCTAGTAAAGGAGACAAGAAGTAGATATGGAGGTTAAAAAGGGTGCATTCTGGAGGTGTCAACTTGCTCTATCTTCCAACTAGACAACTTTTCCATTTTGGAAATAACAGGATCACATATTCCTTTTTCCATTTTTGGTAATAGCAGGATCCCATAATCCATTTTCTATCATTAAATTATAGCAATTTATTTATAAAATCGTGGAAAGGAAGTGGAGAATAAGTTTATTGTTTTATGTGCCGAAAATGACAAATCTTCCCTTTTGGTTGGGTAAATCTATTTATCCCAAAAAAGAGGGACGAAGAGTTGGGTCCTTTCCTGACACTTACTGGTGTGAAATATAATTTATTTGAATAATTTTTAAGCTGCTCAAACACGAGCATAACTAGATCTAAAAAAAAAGTAGGTGAAAATAATTTATGGGAAAATTATAAATCTTTTTCTTGCTTGGATAAATCTCTTCGTCCAAAAAGTATGGGAAAAAAATTGGTTCTTTTACTAGCATTTATTGGTATGAGTAAAAATTTATGGGATTTAATCTTTAGGCTGTTCAAACACATGGGAAACTAGATATCAAATGAGTTGGTTTTCATGAAAAATAAAATTTTTGAGTTTAAGGTTTATATTTATACAATATTGTTCATAACAAGCTCTACTAAAAGGGAGGGGTATCTCTGCTGTATGCTAAAGTGATGTTTGGTTTAGGGCCTTTTTGGTATTGGAGGTATTTGTGTAATTTTGGATATTCTTAATCCACTATACAGAGGAGAAATCTTAGTTACAAAATTTCTTCACTGTGGAAAATTGACAGGTGGCTCCTCGGACACATTTACTGAATCATGGAACATTCCTTTGTTCCTTTGCTTTCTCTATTTCTTTTAATCTTTGTGTGTGATGTGTGAGCAGAGCCCAAGTAATGTGGAGATCATTTCTGCTCTATCTCTTCTGGCGTTAATTAATTCTATTATACTCTTGTTATCCTTACTCTAATAGAGCCTCTCGGAATATTGCCCATGACAGATTTAGGCATTGAGAAATCCATATTCATTAAACCAAAAACATTTCACTTGACTGTACTCATGTTAAAGTTGTGGAACAAGGACAGAGTAAATGCCGCTAGCAAGCTTCTAAAGGTAGTAACTTCAAATCAGACATGTACTTTGGATGAGGATACTGCTTGGTGATCTAACCTTTTTTTTTTTTTTACAACCAGAGCATCTCCTCAAAAGTGATGAATGCATTGGAAAATCGTCCTGTCTTTGTGAGACTGAAGGGGCTGGTAAGACCAATAATGCTTACGGAGCTACTGCTTAAAACTTTATTACTCTAGATGCACTTTATCTTCTAATTTTGCAAAAAGGCGAAATCTCTTATGTCGAGATCAGCATGACATGATTCTATTTGTTAATAATGTATGATAAGAACCCTCTTTTGCAAAAGAGTGGTGCTAGTTACCTTATTAAGTGGTCTGTGCATAGATATATTCACATGTCTAGACAAGATGGATTTTAACTTCAGGATTTCACCTATTTTAGCTTCAGGATTTCACCTATTTTAGCTTCAGGATTTAACCTATATCAATATTCATACCATATTGTAAGCTATCGTAACCATTAATGCAACAGCAAACCTAACATGAGTAAGGAGTCCTGATGAAGAGTGGTTTTTGCAGCAGTGTTTTCAGTCTCTTCTGAGGTGCTGGAGATAAGATGCTTGGTTTCTTGTGGTTTCCCTCCCAATGAGTCCCCTGAATTATTTACTGGTTGTTTCTCAAAGGCAGTGTATGGTCTCTGTTCATGTTGCCCTCAGCCATTGAGAGAGCCATTTAATCCACAAGAAGAGCACACATTGCTCTCCAATTAATATCATTGATACCATGTGGTTTTAATAGATTGGAACGTTTTTATTGTGTACTTAATTGTGGAAGTCCAATTTTGGTTTCAAGAAATCTGTTTGCCCATGTCCCTTTGAAGGGCATTGGCTCTTCAAGTAATTTGTAGAGTTTGCTTAATCTCATATTTTGCTTTTAACTCCATAGTTCTTCAAGTAATTAGCTTTCTGTCCTTTTTTTCTTGGAGTATTTTTCAATATCTGTAGTATTTTTCTTCACAACTTTATACCCCCGAGAGATTTCTGCATTCTGAAAAATATTTCAATTGCTTATGTTATGTCTTATTAGATTGGAAAAAAAAATGCTTTCATATACTGCTGTTATGTTCATGTGCTAATCGTTATACATTTATCAACCAAATAAGAAATGCTCATATCTGTTAAGGATTGCATGAGAGGTTCTTTGGCTAAAGCTCGTGTTCTGTATGCTCCTGTGGAAGAAATTGGAAATGAGGACCGACTTTTACGTGCCTGCCGTATCCTATTTCATGTAGCATTTATATTTTTTTTTGCTAGCTGCACTTGGAATGAAACTGGATAAAAAAGGGGAAAAATTTATGAGTTATTGAAACTTGACTTAGTAATTGAAAGCATTCTCTTTAATTCCTTAAATCTTTCTTAGAAGTAATTATTGATGAATTTGTTGAGGCTGGACTTGTTCTTGAGAAGGATGCTAAACAAAAGCTGAAGGTATAGCATGACCTTCCATTTCAATTTCTTTCTCTGTCTTCTATTCTTATGTTTACATTTTTACTTTGTTTAAATGGTATTCTGATGCTTTTCCAATATCTTATAGCAGTTCATTTACCAGGAACTGGACTGTATATGGGTTGATGGTGCAGATTTTCTGAACAATGTGATTCATATTGTCTCAAGTACAACAAAAGTTTAGATTTTAAAACCTTGAACAGCCAATTTTATCCCAATAAAATATTTTTATTCACTCTCTCTTATCAAAAAAGATATTTTACACACTCTTGTTTACTTGATAATTTATCTGCTTTATATTAGGTCCTTGTGTGCTTACATTTCTAATTCAAACATATTTCTACTTCATTGAGAATTAATGAAACTATGAGAAAAGCATTCAATCATACTAAACAAATTATAGGATGAAAATCTCCCGTAAAATAACTGCTGATCAAGGGAGAGTTTTGATGTAAGTCTTGTTAAACATGACGAAGGATATTGTTAAGCGACTGTCATTCCAATTTAACAAGAATCGACTTTTAACTAGACAAGTGGAAATATGGGAATTTCAACCTAAAATTTTATGCCTCAAACAACTTTACCATCACGCTTTTTCTATCTATTGACCTGTTTAATTCATGCCTAAATTACACTTTGGTGAAACTGAAAGGGATTTTCTTCCTTGAATTGCAGTTACATGCAACAGTGATGAATGCAAGGCATAGGTAAAGGTGCTACTTTGCTGTTTCCGACATTTTCTTTGAAGACCATTTACCTTTTTGTTTGACTTCTAGAGGCTCTCCTTTATTATTTTTTTTTTTTCTTGTTGGTATAGCTGATATATTAAAATGAAATCTTTCAGGACAAAAAGGACAAGAAAGCTTGACTTCTTCGATGCAAGAGGCATATTCGAGCAGTTTGGATCAGAAGAATGGGGTGAGTATCTCATCCGTGAAGCTCATCTTTCACAGCGATTTGCGTTTGATAAAAGTGGTTACTATCATTGCTGTGCTTCCATACCTTTTCCAGAGAGCATGCAGGTAGACTGATTAACATATAAGAAAGTATCATATAGTTTCATTAGAGCACTGAAATCAAGTATCACATAGATTGTTTATTGATGACTAAATCTATGTCCAACTTTTGCAAAAGTATTAGTCTGTATGATGTTTAGATCAGAGCATTGAATTCTTTGGCAATATCAATGCTCTCTCTCCTGATTGACGATGGGAATTTAACTCATCAGTTTTACATTAGATTTGATCCAATTCTCAGTTCTATTTCTATTTAATTCCCCCGCTTAATTTTCATATTATTCTTGAAATCTTGAATTAAAAAAGCAAAATATCCTTTCCCTGTTTAACAAGAGAAACATTTTTTTGTTCTCATTTTTTTTTTTTTAAAAGTTTATATATGTTCTTTCATAAGCACATAGTTGAAAACGAAAAACAAGACTTGAGGAATGATAGTGAAAATATTACAAATATGTATATAAACAAACATATATGATAATCAAAAGATGTTGAATCATGCTATATTTGTATTATTGTTTTTTAAAATTTCAAGAATACCATGTTATATACACATATTTTCTTATTTATATGTAGATGAGAAATTCATATTTTATATTATTGTGTAGAACCCATCCATTAAGCGCAGAGATTATTATTGCTGGACAATCAGTGGTAATGAGAAGGGCATTTTGGTAATTTAATATGTTTCAGGTTATTCTTACACTTAATTTTTCTCTTTTACCATACAAACAAAAAACAGTTTGTATTGCTTATTTTTCTCATAGTTAACCCCATAATACATATTTTAATTTACTACTTAAACTTCTTTCAAGATCGTTAAATTGAATTCTAACATTTATATGTATTATTATGCAGAAGACAGAATGTTGTTATTTACAAAATAATTAATTTAGTAATAACTATAACCAAATATCAAGAATATTAATATATATTGATGATGAAACTTTTGTTATTAATAATTAACATACGAAAAAGGAATCATGGTTTTGTTAAATGTAGAAAGAAGAACAACTTTAGAAGATGTATGCAAGTTATTACATTACACCTTTTGTTTTTTTTTCACCAAACCGCGCCTCAATCTCACAAGTAGGATGTGTAATAATGATATATAGATACACACAAATACAATTTTTTATTTTTTATTTTTTAATATATAATAAAAATACGTAGTTTACCATATGAACCAACACCTTCATAAGAAAAAGAATATATGTATTATCAAAGCATAGCATATAAAAACTATTTTTATTAGCTAGTTTTGTTAGTGAGTTCGTTGACCTAATAATGTACGTTACATGCACTTGTATTTTGACCGAACTATGCATGGAAATGTCAACCACCTCATCATCTTAGAGATATTCCTTAAAGAAGGCTTCACTTCGGGGTTGGTCCGCCTAAACTTGCACGGTTGGGTTGGTCGCTCATATTGAAATTTGAAACACACACACACACCCCAATATTTTACAAAATATAATTTTAAATATAGTCAGAATTTTAGTCTAATATCATTAATTTGTTATAATATAACTATCACGTGATGATAATAATAAATAAATTAAATAAACATCCGTTTTTTTTAAAAATTTAAAAAAAAAAAAAAAAAAAAAAGCAGTATAAAGTACAGAATTATTTTTGTAATTCAGTCAAATTTTTGTTATGTGGTCGGGTGACTAGCTCATCTACATATATATATATATATATATGTGTATATAAAATGATGACCATATAATAAATAATTATCCAACGCCATATGACCCGGCTGGCGACCATATAATAAATAAATAATTTATAAAATTTAATTAATCCATACTTAGCTAATAAAATTAATTTATAAAAATTTACACAATTTAATTAAAAGATAATGCGTATTATATTGATGAGATTGGTGATTCTTTTTTGATTTTACGTGAAAGTATATATAAACTAAAATTTTTCATATCAAGAATTATTTTTAAAGTTTTAATTAAAATTTATGTAGAAATAAGACTGAAGTCTCACAATTTATAATTATTATAAGTAATGTAAAGAGGGAGACTAAAGAGTGGGTTTGTTCCCATCACACCATCATGCTCACTAACTCTCTTTCGTTCAACTCGGGCCATCATCTTTACATGTTTCATCTTTAATTAATTAATATCTCAAATATTTTTATTTAATTATTTTTTAAAGCAAAATTTATATTTTTTAAAATTTTCCATTCACCATTTTTATTTCAACAATCAAGTTTAATGTTAATCTTACTTGATTTTGAAAATATTTTATATATTTTTAAAAAACTTCACCAGAATTTATAAATATATTAGTGATGGTACTTTTGATTTTTATTATATTAAATTTTTTTAATAATTTTATTTATGAATAGAGGTATACTTATCGAAATTATATTAAATCTTATATTTTTTATTTTATTATTTATTTAGAGTGATGGTGTAAAAATTGTAAATTTATTTTTTAAGATTTAATAATTATTTTATTTTAAAACTCTCTTATTACAAATTTGCTCATGTTTTTAATGTATAAGTTATGGAATTAAATTATTCTCCAAAAAATAATTTTTTGTAATGAATGTATATTGTTTTTAATAGTATCATTTTTTTAACAAAAAGAAAATTAAAATGGTAGAATATAAAGAATATTTTAAAATTTTTATACTATTTATATTTGACAATATAAACACCCCAACCCCCCCTCCCCTCCACAAAGCACAAATAAAACCAGAGCTCCTCTGCTCTGCTTTTTGAATTTGAGTTTCTACCATTCGAGTTTTCTCCTTTCTTCCCAAAAAGAAAAAACCAGAAGAAAAATGGGAACATCCGAAACTACTCAATATTTTCCTTCCCAACTGGATGAATCATATCGGCATCTTCCATCTATCTACTTGGTTTTCCTCTCAATCTGGTTCCTCTCTGCTTGTTCTTGGACTATCAACACTTACAAAAATCGCCATTTTCAGGTCCCTTCATCTTTATTTCTTTTTTTAATTTTCACTTCATCATTAACCCAGTAATAGTTTCATTGAAATTTAGGGGTTTGATTTGATTTTCATATATTATCCTTTCTGTTTCTGTTTTAGTTGATTATGGAGTACTGTACCTTTACTGTTAATTGAAAATAAAAGAAAAGAATAGTGGAATTTATTTTCCCTTTTAATGAAACAAAAGTATTTCTGCTTTCAAAAGAAAGAAGAAAGAAAACCATTAAATTATATATTTCACCTCTCTCGGTTGAGTTAGAGTATAAAAGTCAGTTTCTATGGTCTCAGTTTCTGGGATAATTAGTCAAAATTAATTAATTTTTATGCTTTTTGAATTAGAGGTTTATAAGTCTAGAGTTAAAGAGTTTCAAAATTTATTTGTTTGTTTGCATATGTGACTGAGTTTGAATCTGGCTTCCCTCTCAATTTTTTTAGAGCATTAATAATGGATTAGATCATTTATTCTCAAATTAAGCTTTTGGTAGAAAGAAAAACTGGTTGTAACTTATTAAATTGGAACTTTGGTTCCTCTTAAATTCTAAAGTCTGTCACTTTTTTCAACAATTTGACTTTTTTTAATGGGAATTTTGTTTGCTTTATCAATTAAGAAAAAGCTTTTTGATTAGTGTATTTTCTCAACTTATATTGTGCTTTTAGATTTATGTGTTATTCATTTTCAAGAGTCAAACTGATTATTAATCTGTTGGGTTTGTTTTGTTTGGCCTTCTTGTTATACGACTAGAGCAGATGAATAATTTGCAGTGGACACTTGCATCTGTTCCGTTAATTAAAGCTTTGCAGCTCACTCTGTCATTCCTCTTTTGGTAAGTACCTATTCAATGCCTTTTTAATTTATTTACTTCATCCCCAAAACATTTTTATACTTACAATTGGATCATAAGTTTTGCTCCTGTCTTAAAAAAATTCCGATTCCATAGAAGTTGCACATTGGACCACATATAGTCTTATAGTTGTTTCAATTGCTTTATTATTGTCCTCATGTCTATATATTTCCATGTTGGATATCGGGCAAACTAGTAACTGTAAGTAAAAAATTATCGTAATGGAAGTAAAACTTCCAGATGGCTGGGAACAATACTATTGTTGAGCCCACTAATATAGCCTTGTAACCAGAAAGGGGAGAACTGCAGAAGCTGTCTGTGTATGGAACATATTGATAGAGCTGATAAAGAGAAGATAGTGCAGCAAGGGACCTATTTTAAGATACTGGCTCTCATTTTTTTATATTAAGACATTTGATATGTCAGGAGAGTGAATATTTTCTGGAGACCTGGTGCTAATGACAAAGTATACGTTCTGAGCACGTCTATCTTTATCTGGAATGCACATATAACATATAAATTAGCTTGTTAATTAGGTATGGGCAGCAATGGCAGCTATCTTCTGGTACTACCACTTTGGCCTTTTTTTTCTCAGCAATTTTAGTCTCTAAAAAAAACTATTGTGACAGGCATCAGAAGACCAAAAATTCTCATGCCAAAGTTTCTATATGAATGTCATCCAGTTGTTTAGTTAACAGAAAAATACTCCTTTTTTGTTCATCGAAGACAGTCATTCATTTCTTGGAGTGCTATTCTTGCAGGTATTCATGCTTTTATCTTCATGTATGCTCACTGTGGATGTCATTTGGAGTGTATGTTACTGGCGTGCTCTTTCAGACAGCTTCCTTTGTGTCATTCTTTCTCATCTCTCATGGGTATTCTATCACATGTGAGAGCCTCTCTTTAACTGAGCGCCGTACTACAGCTGCACTTGGGTG